GGTGTCCGTACCTGTTGCAGTAGGGGATGCAGCGCTGGCATCTCTCTCCGGGGGTGGCTGTTTTCCCTCGGCACCGGCCAGGCAGCTCTCAGTCATGTTCCGGGAGAGTCTCCACTTCTCCTCCTGGGGGAGCAAGGGGCAGCAGCTCAGGTCCCCAGCCCTGGGCTCCTGGTCCCAGGGCAGCAGGTGCCAGCCTCCTCCCAGGCACCTAATGGGCCAGCAGCAGCGGCCAAGCTGGGGCCAGCCCACAGGGAGCAGGGACACAGCGTTGGGGCGCAGGGGTTGCTGGCACAAGCTGAGTGGGGGAGTAACATGAATCCTCTAGCTCGTCTTGTTATCCCCCTTTCACAGATGGGGAAACTGAGGCACAGAGGGGCTGGGCCTCACCCAGCAGCTGAGCTGGGAATAGACTCCGGGGCTCTGTGCGGCAGGCCAGGCCACACTGGCCGCTCTCACCTAGGCAGGCCTCAGGGCCATGTCTCAGCCCCGCTGTGCTCAGGCACCTGCCCAGGGCAGCGGGGGCACCACGGCTCGCAGCATGCAGGGGGCACAGCGAGGGGCACGGGCTGGGGAGGACGCAGCTCACAGCGTGGGGGGTGCAGGCCCGGCAGGGGCCATGGGCTGGGGAGGTGCCATGCAGGGGAACGCGGCTCATGCCGGGGGCAGCTTTACCTTGGGCTCCGGGGACTCCAGGACGGACTGGCGCTGCTCCTGCCGCCGGTACCCAAAGAAGGTGCTGCCGCGATTCTCCTTGCGGTCGCTCTTGCGCTCCTCGGCCTCAGGGGGACGCTCAGGAGCACAGGGCACCGACTTCCTGGAGGGAGGGGGCTCCGTGCTGCAGCCACCCGCAGGGGAGCCTCGTGAGAGCGGGGTGGGGGTAGCGATGGGGGGGCAGGGGGCGATGTAGATTGGAAAGAGGGGAGGGTGAGGGGGGAAGGGAGGACAGGAGCTGGGAGGAGAGGGACAGCGAGGCAGGGTGGGGCTGGGGGGGCAGCCAGTGGCTGAGGGGGGAGGGGAGGGCAGTCCCTGGGGGGGGTGGGCAGCGGGGCCGGGGGGGCGGCCAGTGGGTGAGGGGGGGGGGGAAGGGCAGGGCAGAGCCGGGCTGCTCCCTGGCTCCAGGACTCACCTGTCTTGGTGCGGGCGGCTGGGTGGCTCTGTCTCCGGGCCCCACAACTTGGAGTGGGGGCGGCCTCCGCGCCTCTCCTCCAGGAAGGGCTGCGAGCACAAGGAGCCGGGGGGCCAGGGCTGAGCTTCTCTCCCCAGCTCCAGCCAGGCCTGTAGCCCCCTCCCCCAGCCCAGCCCCCGCCCCCACGCCACAGGGCATCTCCCCTCCTACCCCCCCCCCCCCCGGCACCTCGGCCCCCGGCGCTGGGGCCACGGAGAGAGCCCAGCGGGGGTCGGGGGCTTCACAGGGAGAAGGGGGCTGGGGCTGGCTCAGTGCGGACACGGGTCTGCGGCCGGGGGAGGCTGAGCAGAGGCGCAGGGAGCGGGACGCGGGCGCTCGCCCAAAGGCAGGAGCCGAGGACAGAGCCCCAGGGGAGCAGCAGGGAAAGAGCAATCGCCCCCCCACCCTGCCGCCGGCTCGCCTTGGAGCATGAGAAGGCGCCGGACTGGACTGGCCCAGCTGCCCGTCCCGGAGACTGGCCAGCAGCAGCCCTGCCGCAGGGAGGCCAGGTTAACCTGCCCCTCCCGACCCGCCAGCCAGAGGTCGGGCTCATGCCCGCGGTTCTAGCCCTGCCACACTCGGTTAGTCAGTATTTACTGTGCCAGCGCTGGATGGTCTCGTTCAACGGGGCTGGTCCCTCTCTGAACCCTGCTGAGCTCTGGGCCTCAGCAACAGCTTGTGGCCATGAGTTCCACAGGCTAACCAAGAGCCACATGAAACACTGGTTACTTTTTCCAATTTTCCTGCTGAGTTGCACTGACTGTCCCCTCCACATCCATGCGCCGAGAGACAGGGAACACGGGGCTCTGCTGCCCCCTCAGCCACCCCCGCACCTGTCTGCTCTCGAAGGGAACAACCCCCCAGCCTGGTCAGTCCCTGAACGCCCTCGTCAGCCATCTCAGCACCGCTCTGTGCTGCCCTGCAGGAGCCGGGCGCCGGCACTGCGCAGAGCATCCAGATGGGCCGCACCCCGTCTACAGGGCAGCATTAGACTGTTCGCTGCATTATTCTCCTGCCTGTCCTGCAGCTCGGCAGCTCGTTTGCTGCACATTGTGTCGAGGTCAGACTGAGCTGCCCAGCGACGCTGGGTCTGTTTGCTGGGAGGAGACAGACGCTCCCCGGCGTATGCAAGCGTTACGTTCCGGAACACCTTGCGTAACTCAAATTTTGCATAAGTCGGAAACGTATACCCGACCAGTACGCAAAAAACCCCCAAAACCCTCCTATTTCTAGCTTACGGAACTTTTCCTGTGAGTGCGGATTTGCGTAAGTCGGGTTTGTGTAACCGGGGGGCGTCTGCACTGTTAAGTTAGGCCCTGAGAAGGCACATGACGAGTTCAGATTAAACCCTCCAATGTGTGTTACTTCATATTAGTCAACCCTGAATCCCAGCTGTGCCTGCCAGCATGCTGCCTTTTCCCCTCCATCAGTCCCTCAAATTCCTCACGGGCTCCTCTGGGCGCGGCTCCCCTCAATACCTTTGTGCCATCTGGAGATTCACACGTCCCTTTTCCAGCTTGTTAATAAATATCTGAAACCCCAGTCGGCCCCCTGGGGCCCTGCTGTGACCCCTCTGCTCTGATGGAAACAGACCATCAATCCCTGCTCTGTTCTGAGCCTTCTGCTCCAGGGCAGCGCTTAGCCCTCACCCCATAGCGACTGGTTCCTTACCAGGCTCCTGTGAGAGGCTTTGCCAAGGGCATTCGAATGGCAGCTGCTGGCTGACGGCCAGGTGCAGAGACGCCGAAAGATCTTGCTCTGCAGCTGCCAAGCCCCTCTTGGAGTGAGCTCCAGGTGTTTCATTGTTTGGCTGCGGGCACCCAGCCCACCCAGCGCCGGTTTACAGCGAGTCACAACCTGGCTGATTTTGGGGGGGGGGGGGCTTTGCTGGCAGCTCAACTGCTGCATGAAACTGCTCCCGGCTCCTGGAT